TCCCAATCCCAACACAACCTCCCGCTTCCCGATCCCAGCACACGGGCCCACAGCTGGGGAAACAGGAGATGTCACTCACCCAGATGTCACACTTGCCAGGGAAGAACCTCTCGGGGATGCGGGCGGCGTACAGCGCCACCCCCAGGATGTAGCAGATGGCCATGAGGAACAGCCAGCCTATCTGCCCCGCCGTGGTGGCCTTGAGGAAGCCCTCGGCGATCATGAAGTGCAGGGTGGGAACCAGGCCGCTGAGCCCCAGCCCGAGGAAGACCCCTGGACACAGCAGGGGGGAACGCCTCAGTCACACCACCGGGCTCTCGGCCCCGAGCTCAGAGCACCGGGACAGACTGCTGAACCTGAAACTCCTGGACCCCGTAAGCAGCGGCTTGCCGAGACTTTGGGATCAACAGTGCTGAACCGAGGAAGATGCGTCTAAAGGGCCTCTGCTGCTCTTACTCCTTCACACAAGCAGGAGGCGTGTCTTTGCTACAAGGGTTGTGGGAGGGTAGAACGAGCCACCATATTGCAACGAGATTCTTCAAGCAACAGGACAGGACTCGGATCAAGTAGCCAACCAAAAGGCTCTCATTTCTGGAACAGTTCCGAACTTCTAATACTCTAGTAAGTCTCGGGTCTTTGGAGACCGGAGTCTGGTGTTGGAATCCTTGAGTAGCCTTACGCTTTATTTTTCTGGAGAGCTTTTAAAAATTGAAGCCACTGGCGACGTCGCCTGCGAGGTCTAGACGTTTACAAACCCCCCCGATCCTCCACATACGAGGGCTTTTGCACAAGCAACACAGGACAACATAACAACAGAGGTGGAAGGCGACACAACTCTGAGCACTTCAAACCCTTTCCCCCCGTCCAGCTGCTCAGCCCGCAGTCTGTACAACATGCACGGCAAGCAACAGCCCGATCGGTTTCCCCTCTGCCCGCGACCCGCCGGCCCTGCGGCGTCTCGTGCCTCACCTGCGCGGACGGCCCTGTACTGCGGCGTGGCGAAGCGATCCCACTGTGACACCACGATGGCGGTGATGCCCAGGACGCAGATGATCACCAGGTAGATGAGGCGGGGCTGGGGGGAGCAGTAGAAGGAGTAGTAGAGCCAGGGCACGAAGCTGCCCATGATCAGCAGGGCGATGCCAGAGTAATCCAACCTGCAGGGACAGGCAGAATGAACGATGGCCAGAGCAATCCAACCTCCTGGGAGAGGCAGTGAGAAAAACCTCATTTAGAATAAATGTGATCTCTTTTTTGATACAGCTCACGTTATAGTGGCAAAGGCGAGTCTCCACAGCAGTCCACATTTCCTCACCTGGTGCTGAAAACGTCAAGCCTCAAATAAATGTGAGTGAATGTTCATACAGATGTCGGAACTTGTGGAACCCCACCTAAGCTGTGCAAGACAGGATGTTGTGTTACTGTCATGGGTGAGCATGGATATGGGGGGGGGTTGTGGGACCATGTGGTTAGCCTTTAAAGCATGCAGGATAACACAGGACTGCTGTCATGTTGATTTAGTTCAGTTCTTTAGTACCAAGAACACGCTTTTCATTTGGAAATGAAAAGACGGCTAGGAAGCAGTTTCTTCAGTCTATCAGTAACAAATCGTACGACTCAAACAGCTGAGACATAACACACAGGCCACAGGTTAGTAGTGTGTGAGACAGCACAGAATCCACAGCACAAGGCAGTTGGTCTGGGACATGTCTTATGGGACAGGAAGTAAGCTAACTGAAAAAATTATGTTAGTCTTTTGAAGTTCACAGGCCTTTACAGAAGACATTACTGAGAAGGCCTTTTCTGGGATTTGTAGGGCTTTTTAAATATGCATTAGCTAATTAAAGTATTACAAACTGCTTAATTAGCATTTCATGTTCTTTGAGGTGAGACAGACCTACAATGCTGACACAGCAAACACCAACTCTGAATGAAACCCTGAGGCTGTGCTGGGGACCGGCTCACTCCTTACTTGGAGAAGGTGCGGGACACTTTCTCTGAGTGGCAGTAGACGGTGTGGAACAGCCAGGAGAAGCAGAGGCACAGCACGGCCCCCAGGAAGAAGACCCCGAACACCACCTTCTCCTGCACCGGCGCCACGAAGTTGATGTTGGGACTGAACATGTAGCCGATGCCCAGGATCAGGAAGAAGAAGAACCCTGTGACAGCGAGAGAGTGAGCAGAGAGCCGCTTGACCGAGCCAGAGAGTGAGCAGAGAG